ACACACACTCACACACACACTCACACACACACACACACACACACACACACACACACACTCTCTCTCACACACAGACGCACACACTCACGCACACACACGCACACACATACACACACACACACACACACACAAATGCCTCTGCTTTTATTTGTACAGCACTGCAGAAACCCAGCTAACAAAATATGTTCTCAGTTTATTGAAATTACCTTCCATTTTATTATTTTCTTCTTCATTTGGATGAACCAAGATCTTTTAGTCAGTGTGGTTTTCATTTGTTGTGTGAATCAAATCTTACTTTGTAGCACACATACCATGCAATAATCACAATAAGCTTTTTCACTTTTGATAAAAAAAACTAAATCTGAGCGTTCCATAAAAGTCTATAAAATTTTATCACAAAACACAAACAATAAATGTGGTTTTAATCTGCCGTTTATGATATTATAGAAAACCTTTCCAGTTTGACTAAGTGCTTTTTTTCTCTCTTTTGAAGCCTGACCGCTGTGATGCTGACCAAACAGTTCTGGGATGCAATAAAGCAATAAACAGCTCTTACAATATAGCGCAGGGTTCTTTGATGGGCTTGAGGAATCTGGCAGACACGATCACACGACTCTGAGGAACGGGTTTCAGCTGCACACAGAAAACAGAAGGAGTGAGGATCCGCAGAAGAGTCAAAGTCATCCAGTTTAAGTAAAGCTTAAACACGAGACACACAAAACAACAGGTTTAATCTAATCATGATCATCTGAAGCAGCTTCAGTGTTTGAACTAGCAGTGCACTTCAACATTTCAAATCATTACGTCTTTATAAAACCGTTTGTGGTGCTTTAAAGAAGTACACTTATTTTGATGTGTTGACTAACATACTAAAGCACATGTAAAGTACGTGATTATCATTTTATCTATAGTGTGTTATTCAATATTATATTTAAAGTTAATATACATTTAAATATTAGTATAAATATGTAATTGCAAATATATTTAAATACACAATATATTTCAATAGAAATGACAATAGAAAGTATTTTTGTTCAAAACAATAACTTTAGCAAAGTTTGTACTATTTTCTGCTTATTTTGAAAAATAAAAGAATTCAATAAATATACTGTCATTAAAATATGTTAATATAAAAAAATATACTTTAAAATACAGAAAACAAATAATTTTAATAAGTAAAGATTCTGAAAGTATTGAAGGAGATCCAATAATAATTTAATATATCAAATGATATTTTATTATATGATATGATTAATATCATGTTTTTAAATATGACGGTTTCATTCTAAACATGGTGATTATCTCTAATATGGACACCCAACATAATATATGATATTTATCATCTGAATCTAACTGTCAGGGTTCTGGACTGTCTGTGTTGTGTTTTGCCCGTTTCTGTTCTAGTGTTCCCTTTTGTGGTCATGTTCCTGTCCTCGTTTAGTTTAATTAGTCATCCCATACACCTGTGTCTTCCCAATTATCCTGTGTATTTAGCCCCAGTCTGTGTTTGTCGGTTCTAAGCGTCATTGTGCTACGTGTGACTCCTAGCTACCCTGTGTTTGTTCCTGTGGGTCATTAAAGACTGTTCTGTGTGAAATCCCTCGTTTCCTCGTTAATTACTGTGCGCCTTTAGCCCCAACAGCAGGGGCGCTTTTTACCCCAAATACCATACTTTTACATGTTTTTCATTGTTTAAAAACTGTTACTTTAATTATCTTAAACGAAACTGAATATCATAAAGAAGACCTTTGTCTCAAAATATATGCATTAATTTTAGCGATTCTCATTTGCTACTTAAATCTACAGTATTTTAAAAAACATAAAATATTAGATCACGTAAGCACAGAATCAACTGCGCGCGATCGTGTCAAAGATCAGACAAATATACACTTGCATCTTGAAAAGTGGATGTTTTGGAAAGTGCTACGCCATGTTTTTGTGCCATCTAGTGGTTTAGATTAGAATAATATCAAAGGCACCTTTTACCACGGGGCGCCTTTAGCCCCGTTATACCCTACTCTTTTTTTTTTTTTTTCAGGCTGTCAGGTTCTGTCACATATTTACTTTAATTTTCGTTTGTTTCCCGTTTTCATGTTCCCATTTGTCATTAGTTGCCATGGTTATTCATTAATTAGTCCACACCTGTACGTCTTTTAGTTCATTACCTTTGTGTATTTAGTTCCTTCAGTTTGCTCTGTTCTTGGTCCGGTATAACAAAACACTGTTTTATTGTGATTCTTTCTTCTGGATGGCTATTTTATTTTTAAACCATTTTTGCACTTCAACTACTTCGTCAGTCTTTGGACTCAAAACATGACATGTTACTCAAAACATTTGTGATCAGCTTAAATGTAAAAAGGTATGTATTTCAGACAGCAGGAAACGTGAGATCTGCTCTGTCGCTGTCAGACGTGAGTTCCATCGACCCGTGTGTTTAAGCGAGGGCTCTGCTCAGTTCAGCCCAAACACACACACACACACCGCTGCTCTCATCTTGTGTTTCGGTGTCTCTCGGGCCCCTGCCGTATCCCCTGGTAACCCCACGGGATGCCCGCGTCTTTGGGATGCTGCCAAACCAAAGCCACCGCTCTAATTGAGACAATCAGGAGCCAGGAGGAACAAAGTGTGGCCGTCGTTGTAAATAAAAGAACCTGTTCAATCTTGCCTAATGATGATTAGGACATTGTTTCACCAGTTACCATGGCAACAGCCCTTTAGTTCAGCGCGATAATAAAGTGGGATCCGTGCAGGTGTGACGATACTCACTTTCTTCGCATTAGAGTTCATAAAATTAAGACTGTCATAAAAAAAGTCCCTGTGCTGGTTTTCTTTCTTTCTCTTCATTCCTGTGTGCTTGAGTTCTGCGGGAGTATATGAAGTGTCATTCAGATGGTCTGCGGAGGCTTTGTTTGCGCTCTGGGTCGGAGCCATTGACTTAAATATGCATCCAAGGAGGTGGATAATAATTCACAGCTTAATAATTCATTGCAAAATGAGCCGACAACAAAGTGAGTCTTTCCAGACGACAACGCAGACAGTGTGTCTAAACGTGACATCTCGCTCAGGTAGTCTTTCTTGAATGTTAAAGCTGGTGCGATATGCTGAACTAGCACACAGATGCTCCAGGATTCCTTTAAACATATACCTTGGGTGTTAAAAACATGCTCTTAAATCACTGGCTGTGTTTGCCAGCGTCTAAACCTCCTGTGGTCGAATGTCAGCCTTTGGTGATCTGGTTTAGAGACGTCTGGATGAACATATACACCCGAATGACTCATTAACTAGTGCAGTGATTGACTGCTTCACTGAACGTGTGTGCTGTTCTTAATTAATGCCATCAGCAGGGTTTATATAGGAGTAGAGCTTGCAAGTGTTATAGATACATATAGACAGATTTCAGACATCAAGTGTAAATATTTGTCCTCACCTCTCCATTGGTCTGAAGCGCTCTTTTCTTCCTGGTTCCTATCTGTAAATAACTAGAAAGTGAGCTGAATTACTTTTTTTCCTTTTACAATGCAGCATTTGTGACACAGCCAGTGAAACGTTTCATTGAAATGAGATACAATTTGTGTTTGATGTAAAATGTCATGCTTAAAGCAATAGTTCAACAAAAAATTAACATTTCTTGAGAATGTGCTCCCCTCAGGCCATCCAAGATCAGGATGAGTTTGTTTCTTCATCAGGTTTGTAGAAATGCAGCATTGCATCAGTGTCTCAGCAATGGATGCTCTGCAGTGAATGGGTGCCGTCAGAATGAGAGTCCAAACAGCTGATAAAAACATCACAATAATCCACAAGTAATGCACAGCACTCCAGTCCATCAGTTAACATCTGGAGAAGACAAAAGCTGAAACTATTCCAGCATTAAGATGTTTTTAACTCAAATACGAGTCTATAATCCATAATAACTCTTCCTCCAGTGAAAAAGCTCATCTGCTGTTGTCTCTCACATCAAAATCCAGACACATATGTGTTTAGAGCTGTTTAAACGCTGCTTGATCTGTGCAGATTTCTCTCCTGATTCACACCAGAACACTTTTTCAC